CCTACACCACACGCGTTCGCGCCATCCAAAGCGCTCGGTTATAATAATGATAATAACAATCCATCGATGAATATGCAACGGGGGCTCCAGGGGGTGCCAAGTGCGCGTGCGTGTGTGTTGGAGAACCTATACTGTACATGGGAAATGTTGAGAGGGAGGGAGGGAGGGGAGGAAAGCTACGGCAGAGAGTAGGCATGCCAATTACTCCCTCGGTAATTAAATCAACACCGCAGCTAATCAACGTTTACCCCCTTCGTTGCCACTGCCAAGTGTGCAGATGTACACACACGGAGAGTTGGTATAGCGGGAGTGGCGCACATTTGGGATAAATAAATCGCGCGCGATCGCGTCTGCCTGTCGCGTGATCTCTCCCTCTCTCTTCGCCGTTGTGTATATACACGGTAGTGTAGTTGTAGGGTATACGGTCGTGAGGCTGCGTGTGTGGTCCCACGGCGTCCTCCCCCATGCGTATATACTGCGCTTCTCTGATATTCGGGAATTTCGAGAGGCCAAGTGGACTCCGCGTGCCTAGCCTCCAAGGAGAGGCTCATTTTGTTAATTGGAGCTTTACCTCCTTTTTTATTTCAATTTTTTTCTTCTTTTTTTTTTTTTTTTCTGGTGTCATTGTTTTATTTTGTTCGTCTCGGAGCTATAGGTAAACTTTGCTCCGAGACATAATTGAAGCTCGGTAGTTTAGTCATACGCAAGATACGCGGTGATAATGAATTCATCGATTAAAAAAGGGTATACCTTTTGCCTTTCACTCGATATATCAAAAGCTTTCTATGTATCACTTGAACGTCACAAATAACATCACCCATTACTGTCGATTGAAAAAAAAAATAAAAAAAATAAATAAAAAATAGCTGTACAAATCGTGAAATTTACTTTGAGAGGTAAATGTTTGAACATTTGTTAATTATCCCCCTCGACTCTTTTGAAATGCAAATAGATAAAGAGAGAAAGAGGCTGGCGGGGGTGCACATAATGTAACTATAACTTGTCTTCCCAATAGCCGTGGAGGAAATTGAATGTGCGCGTGTATAGCTACCGCCGTACCCACCGAATATATACCTGTATACACGCGGTGAATGATATACGCGCCGGCAATTAATTACAAAAACAACGGCCCGAGCGAAGCCCATTCCCAAACGACCGACAAGCCGCACATCCGCGGTTGTAGCGTGTGCCACCCGCCGCCGCTCCTCCTCCCCCATCGGCCTTCCACTCGCGCTCCGTGTCACCCCTCCTCCCCCCAACCTCGCTGTCTCTTTTTCCCCCGTCGAAATAACCCCGAGCAAACGCTAACTGAAATTAAAAATGGAAGCGCGCACTCGTCGCGACTATTTCGTGAAAAACAAACTCTCCCCGACACGAGCTGAAAAAATGGGACGTGTTACGCCGCCGGACGCTCGCGAGTGGAAGAGCACAGGGGGGAGATAAATAAATAAATGAAAAAGTTTCGCTGTTTGTACGTGGGACGTTATTACTGCTCAAAAGGGTGGAGGAGGGATTGCGAGCATGTTACTTTTTTTTTTTTCATTCGTGCGTGGCGATGAAAATTAAAAAAAAAAAAAAAGAGTATTCTGCTCCTGAATATGAAATTTTTGAAATGGCGTATGGACATTTCGGCACGTCGTGTTAATAACGCCGCGCGTTTTTCATCTCGTGGGTAAAAGTTGCGTGCTTAGGAGGCAGTTGGATGAGACAGTGAAAAGCGTCGTGATGTAAACCCAACATAGCTGGGTGATTTATTATTGAAAAAAAAAGTATGCACCTTTCGACACGAATAACGCGCTATTGTCACAAGATATTCCCTTTTCAGTGGAGAATCTAAATTGAAAAAACTTATGAGGTTAAGGCGAAGCTTCGTTACAAAGTGGATGATTGCTTACGTGGTTTGAAGTACTGGCGGGACATTTTTAAGGTTGAATCTAAATTACAAAAGAAATAGCAATAACTTTTTTGTTTGATTAAAATCAACTTGGAGTTTGGGCATTAGATCGGATCGAGCTGAATCACGTGGTATGACGCAAGAAAAAAGTTAAGCTCTGCATGAATAATATAATTCGATCATTTGATTTGAATTGATTTTTATAAAATTCTTAGCCTTATAATATATTATAAATTTAAGAATAATTTTTCATACCTTAACGTGATGAAAATATAATTAAAAGAAGCGATTTAAAATATGCGTAAGATGTAATTCTTTAACACATATCTCTGTATACCAAGAATACATTATTTGCTAATGGAGTACCTATGTCATCCCGTTATTGAATGATTTTCAACTTAATAGTAGAAATGTTTGCGTATTTGCGAGTATTTAAAAATTTTTTTGAGTACAAACCCAACACTGTACTTCGATGCACAAAAACGTTTTGAATCTATAAGTGTATTTATTAATATATACAAGATTTCGTCCTTTCTCACTTATACGGAACTCCATTTTTCAAAAAAGAACAATTAAATGAAAAACAAGAATTAATAGATGACTAGTGAATACGTAAATAATAACAGTAACCACAAATCGACAAGAAATGGCAAGCCGCAATTCAACATAAATTAGAAAACGAAGCTTATCGCTCTGCCGCAACTCGACACTGATTAAACGCTTACTTTTACTCGCGCCGCAACTCGACATCAGCCGGCCAAGATGCATATCCACGAATCTGCTCTGCACATGTTGTTTTGTAGTGCAATACTTATGTAAACTAGTTGGTAATAAAATATTTTTTTTTTAGCTTCCAGGAGAAAGTACTCATATTAGAAGTATTTTGTTCTAATTTTTAAAAAAATTTTATGGTTCATTTTACAAAAACCAGAGTAATATAAAGGCAATAAAAAGGATTAAAAAAAAGGAATTTTTAATTTTTCGAATGTTTTTTAGATTCCGATACCCAAGTCTGCAGTCGTGGGCAACAATTGCAATGTCTTTACATTTGCGGAACGAGAATGCGGTGCTACAGATTCGATGATGCTGCTACATACCAATGTATTTGTGTATAATTCAAAAAATATAAGTGATAATTCAAAAAATTCTATTTCCTAAAATATTCTAAAAGCTAAATTCCTGAATCAACCACACTATACTGTATAGAGTTAACCATGCTTCTTTTATAAAGTTATTCTACTTACCTACAACGCAAAAATATTAAAAGATAGCACGTCTTTCTCTATGATTGGCTATAGTAGCTCATTAGACAAGGACATGAAAGGACTGGCTAGTAGCGTCCCCTTTCGTTCTGCATAATATATCGCAGCCACCTAAAGGCTGATAAACCCCTTCGCACGCTCTATTCTAATATCGCTATGACTTATAACCTATAAATTTTTTGTAAGTTGGCAATGTTAGAAATTTCATATCGATTTTACCCATTATACAAAAAAAATATAAATAACTGCTTAAACAAGCAATTTTTTCCGCTGCGTAATTTAATTTTAAAGAATTTTTTTTGCACAGTTCAACTCAGTGCTATAAATAAATATTAATTATCGAAGCAGCTGTTAAAACAGTAGCGTTATTAAATGATATTTTAAGTTAAATTAAAAATGATATAAATTTGGTAAATAAAGAATTTACGTAGTTTATTTAACTGTGTAATAATAGATGTATTTTATGCAGTAATGAAAAACGAGTAATGTATTTGATCTTTGATATCAACTTATGTGCGTATATAAAAGATCGTGACAATTTCAGTAGGTCAGAAATTAAGGTTTTGAAGAGCATATCAAGTGTTTACAGAACAAAATTGTAGTAATACTTAGAACATGAAGGTTCTCCTTGTCTTCGTTATGATTGCGATTGTTATTTGTACCGCTTTGCCACGTAAGTTAAAAATTGTGATCATTACAAACATATGGATAAATTTAAAAAATTAAAAGTATTTGTATTGAGGTAGTTCATCGGAATATTTTTTTTTTGTACAAGCGTTAAAAATTAAGATACAAGTTGTTAATACTGTCAAACATAATTTTTCTAGATATTGAATTTTCAACTCCCATGTTTGAACACAGGATCGTATAAGCAAGTAACTTGAGAATACATATTTATTTAACAATAACAGCAAAAAATGTTCTTACGATTCTTTCAAAAACAACTAGCCATTTTGATATCTCTATTTGTAAATTAATGATTAACTGACACTTTCAATAGGTTGAGACCTACTGAGGTCACTGAACTAACTAAACTACCTTAATCAGTGTATTAAATCATTTTATAACGTTGTTGAAAAATTTTTTATAAATTATTTTGTATGCTATTTATATCAAAATGTGTCTTAAATTTTTAGAGCTTTATTATATGGATTATAGATATTCAAAAATTTTAAATTTAAATGTAATAAAATTTTTCTAGTGATTATTCGAACTTATTCGTTAACATTTTTTTTTAGCTTTTGGCAAATTGAACTGCAATAAGGTGGAAGTTGATAATTGTAAATCAATATGCAAAGAGAAAGAACACTCAATTTGTACCAAAAATCCGATACGTGAATACACGTGTTATTGTTCAGGTGAAAACAGTTCTTTTTTTTGGGAAAGTATTGATAGCTAAAAACATGTAAGATAGAGATTCGTAAACTTATTATTTAAATAAAACATATTTTTTAATAATATACCATCACCACTACTCAAGAAAGTTTTATACCTTGGCGTGGATGTAAAGAATCATAGACAGAAAAAAAAAAAAAAATTTCTCAGATTTTTTTTACCAATACTAGCGGATACAAACCTTTTTTATTTTTCTTCCTCGACCCGTAATATTAGTTACTCTTACCTCATTCGTAAGTTAAAAATTTATTTTTAACCTATACATATAGCCAATTTATAAAACGTGTTTGTTGTATCGTATTTTTTAAAACTTACGGCGCTGATATCTACCTCGAGTAAATAGGGCTGATACAAACAATATTGCATACATATAGAGGATATGGAAAGTTCGTAATCAATTGATAGTTAATTATTGGAAACAATTAAAAATTAAGTATCATAGACGTTACCTTAATCCTGGCGAGGCGAGGTTCCTCCGCGGCAAGTTTGGCCAATCCTTGGTAGTCACCCTGCGCTGACTTCACCAACCACTCGCGTGACTTTGCATCTAGCTGCTAAAATTGGACATTCAAATATGAATTTTTAAGCAAATTCGTTCCAATGATGAAATGATAACTTGTAGATTGATTAACAAGAAATAATTTTTAACTATTTCAACAAAACCACATTCTTTTACAATAGGCAAATACACAATGGAAAAAAGATTTGAAATTAAAAAAAAAGAAAAAGAAAAGAAATTAACATTCTTTAAATTTAACTTACCGACGCAACGGAAGCTCTGTCGTAGTCCTCACTTCCCTGAAAAACACAGAAAATGCAACTTTATACCACAGCTATGAAATATTTTTCTTCATTAAATTAAAAATATTGTCTACACGGAGGATTTTAATTCTTTAAATAGATATAGAGTAAAGACAAATTTAAATGCTAATTTATTTGATATCAGATAAAGATCAATACATCTTTTTACCCTCTCTCTACATAAATTATTCGCACTTAAGCAGTAACATACATGCCCTATCATCAGTTGTCCAAACATCTCTCAAGGCTTTTTGTTAGAACATCACATTATCACTTTTCCCTTGTATGTACAACATAATGAATATTTTTCTCTACACAATTCCTTTTGCTACATAACTTTCAATCTTTTTTTTAGCAGACTGTTAGACATTCAATTTCCTGAGTCTACGATTATAGTTAGTATTTATTACCCAAGCAGAGATCTTAAATTGAGCATATCTAGGTAAGAGAACCTCTATGGTGATGAATTCAAGTTGAGATTCGTAAGTTTTTTGAATGAACGACTCGAAAGAAAGAAAAAAAAGAAAATCAATCATAAATTCATCACAAGTAAAAAACGAAACCAAGAGAAAGTACCGCCGCGCGCCTCGGGAGAGAAGAAATTATCTGATCCTCACGTGACGCTAAACGACTACTCATCCCCTGTTAAACTGTTTGTATTCCCACTCGTCACGACTTTAACCATCACTTCGGCTCAGCTTCACAAACAATAATAACAAAAATACTGTATACACGTTATACTTTCAGCCTCGTAAACTACCTATCCTCTTTGTATACACTTACTCACTGCAAAGAGAACGAACGAGCGTCAGCTTCCCCACCTTCTTATCCTCGCGCCGAGCCCCATTGTAATCATCGTCGTCATTTATTATTATCCTTCGCTCCCCGATATCGCCCATTCACAATCAAAGGCGTCCAATCGAGCGATCGGGTCCCGATAATACTGCTCTCTCGCTTGGTCAATATTTACCCACACTTGGGTCCGACTCCGATTCATCGTCCCAGCCAACCTATACTCTCCAGGACTCGAGTACAATGCACAACTGTGAAATGGCCTTTGATTGACAACCCCCTGAAACAAGGGGGAAAGGACCCCCTGGCGTGGTCAGGTGCTGTGCGTCGACGCTTTTTCTCTCTCCCTTCCGCCGTGTGTACCCATACACGTAAGTCCAACGTGTGTATACCCACTTAAGGATCAGGATTGATTGTTCGTGCATTACCAGATGTGAAAATGTACATCGTATCCACGTAACGCATAAGAGCTCTTTTCGTAAGTGCAACAACTGAAGTGGCGCCTGGACCGATAAACGATAAAATTAATGTTTTACGTGCACTTTAGATCTCAGGATAAAAATCAAGGGTAGATACAAGGAATACAGAGGACTTTTCCTCAAACCGTGATTTATGTTGACGAATGTCATTTATTATTTATGTAGCCAAACGCGCGATATTCACTAGAAGGGGCAAAAGGAAGCAGAATAATGAAAATGGTCTTGCATGAATTTAGATATGCGCGACGATCAACGAGACGGTAGCCATATGTACGTCTAATTGTGGTTTCCTGTCGGCCGTGTAGGACTAGAGAAAAAGGCACGATTAGACGCGAGTGCAGCAGCGATACGTCAATTGACGCCGTCGCGCAGTGACAAACTAGAATGAAAAAAAAAAGGCACGTCGATCCGTGAATCAGCTGCCGTTGGGAGGAAAGATAGCGCGCTTCGCCCCGAAGGTATATATACAATAATTAATCACCGGGAGGCTCGTATTTCCGCGAGCGAAATCTCAAACACTCGACAAGCCGAGCGGTTTGCTCATCTCGGCGTGAACAAATCCAAAGTGTCGACGAGGGCAATGTGCAGCTGACAAATCATCACCGATAAAACACACAAACCCTGCACACGTAGGCATCCTTCTCTCATAAATTAATTACCTATATATTATGTACCTCCCCCTCGCGTCACTCCTCTCTGCAGTGTCGCGGATGGTGAAACGCACGCGCCGCCAGGCTCGATCGCAACACGTGGGGCTTCTGCGACATAATATTGAGTGTAGGAAGTGCGCCCATCGCCGATGAAGAGATACCACGACGTTTGGCAGTACGGCAGCAGCACGTGATCGATCAAACTGACGGCGCCTGCACGGCGGCACGTCGTTTCTTACTATACCCACCTCGCGAGAAGTGGCTTTAATTGCGACGCCGGTGCATTAATTAACTACCTCTACCCCGCTCGACTGACTCTAATTTTAAAATATTAATCATCGGGCGAATAAAGACTTTCGCGCGTCCCCGGTGACTCTGTCTCCCTTTTTTTTTTTTTTTTTTTTTTTTTTTTTTTTTTTTTTTTTTTTTTTTTTTTTTTTTTTTTTTTTTTTCTTGGGGGCTGTGCATTATATACTCGGTGCTTTTTGCGCCCTGCGATTAATCTTCCCGTTCTGCTGCGTAAGGATGCGTTCGGCCGGACGTGGAGGCACCCCGAGATTAATGAAAAAGCCGATTGGTTATTGGGACCGAGAATTAAATGGCTCGTCTTTGATCGGGCGAGCGTATAATGACAATCAACAGTGATGTAAGTAATATACAGAAGTCCAAGGTGCGTTTGATGGATTGGTCGAGTGATCTTGTGATGCGAATATTCAATGCGATCTCACGGAATGACGAAAAAAGGGCCCGATGCTCTCTTTCGGTAAAAAACGAGGAGAAGAAGCTGATATTCACTCTCGTCTCCGAGCTCCCTTCTTCCACTTGACAGAGACACTTTTGCGGAAAGTATATAGGATGCCATTACCATTACTCCCCCTATGTCTCTCCTGAGCTTATCAGACAACCGCGCCATTACGTTCGCCCGGTTCCGCTGACTTGCTCTTTCGTTCTCGTGCGTCCTCTCTTTTTCCCTGCCCACTACCGTCCGAGAGTATAAACAATACACAACGGCTTTGGAAAACGCGCGCAACAAGCTATTTTTCTCCCTCCCTCTCAATGGCTTGTTTTCTTGTACCTCCATGCCCCGGTCCTCGTTTCAACATTACCCCCTTCCGATTGTTTGCCCATCGAGAATATAGGTGTGCTCCGTGAAAAATCACGCACCGCCGAAAATTCGAGAGCGAAAAGTTTCTCCCCCGACATCTGGAGAGCGAAGAGCGCATTGTTTTTTCCCATCCAACACAAACTACACACTCCGCGGTATCCAGAACGAAAAAAAAAAGCAACAATCAATTATACCGCAGTCGAAAATGTAGCCCTTAAAAAAAAAAAAATAAGAGAGAAGAGCGCGCACGTGACCTTAATCCGCATCGCCGTAACGCGGAGGGACGGAAATCAATTCATGAGAGCCGCAACAAGAAAAGCACAAAGAGTCGAGCACTCGTCGCTAGTTATGCGGCACAGACAAGAAGAGCCCGGCCAGAGGGTGCAGGGCAAAAGGCTCGCCGCCGGATGTACAAGCGAAACACGCTCTATAACCATCGGACGGGGTATACAGAGAGCTTCATACACGAAGGTTCCGAAAGAGAGAGAGAGAGAGGGTGGGTGGGGGGAGAAAACATGCCCGCGGCTCGGAATTAGCTTTATTACGACCTAGGGGGCCCTCGGCCAAAGGACGACGTCCCTGTATGTTCGTGTATACATAACCCGAGAGTCCGGTCGGGGCAACATTTTCACGGCTGTATATATACGTATGTTACCCGAACGAAGGACACTTGGCCGAGTCCCGGGGATATTATGGTGTTGGCGCGACATTAACCGAAACCAAAAACTATACAGGGAGGAGGATTAACGCGTCTTATATGCCCGGGGGTAAAACAGGGCTAGCTGCTTACGAGATGAAAAGAGGACTAATGTGACATTGCGAGCGTGAATATTTGTACCATGTAAGGTAAGCATCATTGTAGAGACCTTTTTTTTTTTTTTTTTTTTTGTGTGTCAGGGTCGATGAAAGGCAAATATATATGCCAGAAAGTTAGGAGGGAACGTAAAGGGCGGGAAGTAGAGATCGATTATGCGGCGATTCTGTGGTTAACGCACAGGCCTGATTTATTTCCCCTAATGGGGCGTTCGCGCATTCATTTCGGGTCCACGTGCGCCTTTGGCTTTCGCATATATATAGGCTAGAGACAGAGAGATTCGGCGCATTGCTGGCGCTGACAGGAAAACTCCCGGCGGGTGATTCAGCGTTCAGTTCTGCGGGGGCTACGCCTACTCCTAACCATCACTAATAGCCGCGATGCCTAACCAATTCAATCCTCCCCCCTTTCCCCTCCGCAGCAACATGCGCTGATGATGCGAATCGACGCTCAATGTTATATACCATCACCCCCATCTCGCGGGTAATTAGGAACCAGGGAGTGGTGCACCGGAGGGTCCAACTGCAGTAAAACACTCCGTGTGCCAGCAAGACTTTTGCCCTGTGCTCATTAGCCTGGCTCGCGGTTAATTTGCTACTTCCGATGTTACGTGCAGGTAGATTTTTCGGGTGTGTACGAGACACTCGACGCTTTACGACTAACACACGTTGATGTGCGAATCGAAGATGTGGTATACGTGTAAAAAGTACCCGCGATGAATTACGAGAGGACTTGCAACTAAATAAAAATCAGACCCACCCGATGATTAACGAGCCGCAAGCGCGTTGTACTTTGCTCAACTCACACTCGCGTGCCATCAGTGGTCGGGGTAGGCAGGAATATTTTGGCGACATCGCAGTATAGCAGTAGGTCACGTACAACGCCCAGAAACAATTTGGCGTGTGTATTATTATCAGCCAGCACGTTCTGGTCGGCGTGTAGGTACACACGCGCTGGTATATCGCGATCGTTTGCGCCACGGCTAATAAATTCACCCACCCACCCACACGACTAAACGTAACCATATAATTGATTCTCGATCTTTTGTCGTCGGTGCTTTTCCACCTGTGTGCAACTATATATCGCGTCATCGATGGAAAATAATCTCACGTGTGATGTGTATGCATTGCCGGATGAACCGATGGACCGATCGATAG